ATGATACTCAACTATATTTATCCATCAAGCCTGATGAAACCAATCACCTAAATCAAATTCAAGACTGCCTCAAGGACTTAAAACGTGGATGACCTTAAACATTTGATGTTAAACACGACCAAAACTGAAGTTATTGTACTACGGCCCAAAGAATCTACGAAACAAACTATCAAAAGATATACTAGTTATGGATGGCATTAATTTGGCCTCCAGTGATACTGTAAGGAATCTTGGTGTTATATTTGATCAGGATTTATCCTTTAACGCCCACATAAAATCAATCTCACAGACCGCCTACTTCCATCTACGCAACATTGCCAAAATTAGGCATATCTTGCCTCAAAATGATGCAGAGAAATTAGTCCATGCATTTGTTACTTCTAGGCTGGATTATTGTAACTCTTTATTATCAGGGTGTACCAAGAAGTCAGTCAAGTCACTTCAGCTGATTCAAAATGCTGCGGCTCGTGTACTAACCAGAGTTAGGAAACCACATTACCACATTACTCCTGTTCTGGCAGCCTTACACGGGCTCCCTATAGAACGCAGGATAGAATTTAAAATTATTCTTCTCGCCTACAAAGCCCTTAATGGGCAGGCGCCATTTTACCTTAAAGAACTCATTATACCCTACTGTCCTACTAGGGCATTGCGTTCCAATAATGTAGGGTTGTTGGTTGTTCCTAGAGTCTCTAAAAGTACAATGGGAGCCAGAGCCTTTTCTTATCAAGCTCCAATTTTGTGGAATCAGCTTCCAGTTTGTGTTCCGGGCGGCAGACACCCTATCCGTTTTTAAGAGTACGCTTAAGACCTTCCTTTTTGATAAAGCTTATAGTTAGGGCTGATTAGATTCAGCCCCTAGTTTTGCTGATATAGGCTTAGTTTGTCGGGGGACATCTTACTTCTTCCTTCTCTCTGTCTATACCTGTGTACTCATGTTCCGATTAACCCAGCTTCCCCAAATTTCTTTCTTTTCGGTGTCTATATACGCCGGGATCCGGAGTCATGGATGATCCTGCGGTCCTGTGTCATGGATCGCGAGTCCTGGATCTTGAGTCGTGGCTGTGGTCCTGGATCATAAGTCCTGGATGGATATCCTCGTGGATTCATCTTCCTATTATACACNTTTACACGATACATCGTGGATTGCACTCCATGCGATGTCGTAAATGACCAGGCCGCGGCGGGAAATTGATTTGACAACATAATACTCGATGTTCACGATGTGGTCATTTACGACATCGCATGGAGTGCAATCCACGATGTATCGTGTAAACTCGATATATCGCCCAGCCCTACCTTGAGGCAGTCTTGAATTGTATTTAGATGAGTGGATTCCTATCAGGCTTGATGGATTCATATAGTTGAGTATCCTCCGCATAACAGTGGAAATTTACAGAATTATTCCTTATAATATTGCCTAACGGAAGCATATATAATGTGAACAAAACAGGTCCAAGCAGTGAGCCCTGTGGCACTCCATGGCTCACTTTGGTTTGCATGGAAGATTCATCGTTGACACGTACAAACTGAGAGCGTTTAGATAGGACATAAACCAGCCTAAAGCAGTTCCCTGTATGCCAACTAAGTGCTCTAGTCTTTGCAATAGGATATCATGGTCGATAGTATCAAATGCAGCACTGAGATCGAGCAAAACAAGAATAGAGACAAGACCTTTGTCTGAGGCTATGAGAAGGTCATTTGTGACTTTAACCAGAGCTGTCTCTGTGCTATTATGTGCTCTAAAGCCAGACTGAAAATCTTCAAATAAATCATTGTTTAGGATGCAAGTCTGACTTCCATCCAAACTGAATATACATTTTGAGTGTCAGTAGAACCTTTAAACCCAAATACTCTTATTCATGCTTCAGTGTTTTGAAACATTAAATTATATCTGAAAGTAATATTGATATTTTTAAACATGGACCCATAGAAAAAAAAAAACGTAGTATAAAATTAAAAAAAGTAACAACAAAAAAGTTAAAACTGATGTATACATGGTGAAGCAATGGACTCCTGTGTTTACTTCTGTAACATAGTGACATCACTGTGTTAGACTCACTCTTGTATTGGCTAGCACTCCAACACATTGAATATGACGGCTAAAGGGCGGGGCATCTCTCAGTAGTTGACCAGCCAGCTAACCAATCAGAGCAGACAGAGGGTGAAAAGAGGTGCTGCAGCACATAGAAACATGTCACACTAAAGACATAAATAAAAGTATGAACCTGAAAATGAGCATAATTAACAAACAAATCTGTTACAAGATTACTGAATCCTAGCTTGTTTATAAAGCACAAAATATGTTATATTATATTGGATCCAATTTATTTTTGCATTGTTGGAGGGGCCTTGGACTTAAAATGTTCATTGCCAAACTCACTGGAGCCATTCTGCCTATAACAATGAAGCCTTTGAATTTTGACTCATCTTTTTAATAAGCTGTGTATTTTCCTTGAGTAAGTAGTTAGAATAATGAGGGTGTGTCTGTGCAAGGGGACGGCAGCAATGATGGGCAGCAGAAAGCCTGAGGTGACCCCAGATGAGCTGTTTACCAAATATAGGAGACACATTGCAATCAACAACTATTGCTTCACCAGTTGCGGCTTGATGGCAAATTGACAAAGACAAAACCGCTGCTGAAAAAACAACTTCACATGTAGGTCAGTGTTGGCTATAAGGGATGTGGGCTCTATGGTCTGATGAGTCCAATACACATTTAACCAGCACCACAATGAAGGCTTGTGGTGGCAGCGTCATGACTCATGCAGCTCGTGGGGGTCAGACACTAAAGACACATCCTGGAGAAAACCCTGATGCAACGACAGAAAGACAGCATTGCTAAAATACAGTCCCATCCACTTAAATTCAAGACTGTAACTGTAAATGTCATCTTTCCTTGTTGATGTGTTACTGTGCTATAGTTTCATCCTGGAGGCACACAGACTGAAGGAATAACACACACTCTATGATCTTGTCAGTGTCTTTTTAGCTTGATTGTTAATTTGTTTCATACTATTTGTTACGTGCCAGTAGGGTTGGGTACCGAGAACCGGTTCCGAACATTTCGATTCCAACGGCATCATTTAGAAATGTGAATTTCGGTTCCGCTTTTCGATGCCTGAGGAAATGTTTCTCGCCGCTCTCCGTAGCATACTGTATGACAGCGGCGGGGCGGGAAATGTAGCGTTGTACCTACACTTCTTCAGCGTAACCTGGGACCAGGGCCGGCCCGTCGCACTGGCGTTATAGATGTTCGCCTAGGGCGCCAGATCTGTGGAGGCGCTGCGCTGACAGCTCTGGGAGGAAAAAAAAATGTTTTGACCGTTGGTGCTCATCCTAATTTTCGGCCTTGATGTAACAACATTCATAATTAAGTAAATGTAACACCCTTTTCATCCCGGTTACACTTTTCATTTGCCCTGTACGATGGGCGCTGTAAGTGATGAAAATGGGGGATGTTGGCTTATCTGGCACCCGCAGCTCACAGCCAAAGTGCGAGTGAGCGTGGGAGCGAGCGAGTGAGAAAGGGAGGGTGCACCGGTACCAGCGCTGTTGTTATTAGCATCTGGTGCTAGCTGCTCTAACGGAAGAAGAAGATGTTTCTACAATGATGTGGATGGAGAGTCCTCTCCAGTCAGACTGAGAGGCTGATAACTACAGCTCAGTGAGGTAAAGGACTCTGAGTGTTTAGATAGTTCACTAGTCTAAGTTATCTCAGTGGGTCTCAAACGTTTTGATCACAATTTATGTAAACACATATTTCCAAGGCACTCCTTTATAATTATTGGGATAAAACAGGTTTTAAATCATTCCAATGTCCTACTATAGGACAATAAACCAGACATATCGTTTTAAACTGGAGAGATAAAAAAATATAGATAAATACAATTGTAAAATAAGATATGAATGAACAACAAAAATAAAATACGTTACTTACATGTATTTGTTATTGGTCTATGGTAGGTTATTGGTTATGTTCACATACTTATTTAATTATTCAAATGTAAACCGATCTTTTTCATATGGGTGTTTAGAGTTGTACCCCCTAGATCTAGTCTCTAGTCATTCTGCTTAAAGTGCACCAGATTGAAGCATTTTAAAGTAAAATGTTCAAACATTTCTTCCCGGTATGCCTGAGAAGGCAGATATGCTTGTTTTTCTCAACAAGAAGTGTTTTTAAATGGGGGGGGGGGTTCCTTTAAAAGTTGGACTGTTGTAGCTTCAGTGGCTCTCAGGTTACAGTTACATAGCAGTGAATATAAACAGTCTAATTAATGTGAATATTACTGTAAACTAACCTGTGTAAAAGTTTTGAAAAGTAGAATCGGAATCAGAATCGTGGAAATTCAAACGATACCCAACCCTATGTGCCAGGCAGAATACAACACATAGTCATACACTAGTGCTGGGCCTTTTATTGTATCAATATTGTGACTTATCTCATATTTATACCGTATAGATATCCACTTGTTGATGTCATAAGTTTCTTTTCGTGACTACTGAACTTATTTCTAGTTGTTTTATCAAAAATGTGATTTGTGTAGTTTCATATTTTGTGAAAGCACCAAATATATATATATAGCCTAGCCCTAACTCACTCACAGTATCACACACACATCTTACTTAGGCGATACACACATGTAACAGCTACTGAAATGCCTAAGGTAATCAGACATGGTGGGCTCTGTAGAAACTACGTGGGAGTAAGCAGTCAAGACATTGGATAAATCCTGGTTATGAATTCATAAACTTTCTAAGAAAGAAGACAGTGTTTCATCAGACAGCAGCTCAGGACGATCCACTGCCCTAGTTAGTCTGTCAACTACTTCCCAAAGGGAGCGACCCACCCTGCTCCTTATCTACCTAGAATAGTGTGTGTGTGTGTGTGTGTGTGTGTGTGTGTGTGTGTGTGTGTGTGTGTGTGTGTGTGTGTGTGTGTGTGTGTGTGTGTGTGTGTGTGTGTCAGGGGGACTCGCTAGAGTTTAACTAGAGGAGGTTTCTCTGTGACGTGCTGTTTTTGAACAAGGTGATCAAATATGTGACTGTTGGGTCTATAGGACGTGCTAACCTGGCGATAAGTTACAGAACTCCCCCTCACACTCTGCCTACATATCTGTAAAACACGACTTGTAATCACAGGCTGTAAACAAACAAAAATGACAGCACTATTTGCCCTAACCCAACTCAACGAAGCGACGTTACCTGTCCTGACTTTAACGCTAGCTAATGAGCTAATGGTACCGCCAAGTCAGTTGCGTACCGGGACAGACCCATGACCGACTGCGGCGTCCTGTCCGTGCCCTGTCGGACGCTGAAAATGAAAAATATGGTAGTTTACCCTAAAAAGAAACTCACAATATGCCGGAGCAGGTGGTACAGACGAAGGAGCCCACTGTCATGTTGACATAGGTCGGGCCGCGCTGGTCGCAGTCGAAGCATTTCCTATTCGCGGGCAGGCTAGTCATTTCCCGGAGCATCTTCAGATGAGTCTCCTCTTGCTTTCGCTTCGCGCTCGTCGCCATGGTAGAACACAACCGTCTGATATCACCGGGGAGGGGAAGTTTGATCAAGGGACCCGGGACAGTGCGGGTGCCTTCAGGAGAGACTGGTCGTGGCAGACAGCTTTCCGAGAGGTCTGGCCGAGAGACTGGGCGACTGACAAACTGCTTCTTCTACTCGGGGTAAAAGTGGGAGACAGACCGGCCTCACAAGCACAAGCGCCATCTGTTGGTTTGGAATAATGCCTAATTTAAAGTAACACTATTCAGGAATGATAATACAAACACACATTGAAACATTTTGTAAAAAAAACACTGCAAATTCACACTTAAAACATAAACATAAAAACAGCTCACAAATTGTCCCACATATGGAAGGTTTCCAGAAGAGTAAAAGTAAAAGCCTTGAATCTTGAAAAGTTGTAATTGAGGTGTCAAAAACGTTACAAATCAAAACTCCCATTACATAAGGGCACCTTTAAAAAAACAAAACATGAAAAAGGGACAGTTATTTATTTTAAATGTGTTTTATTGTTTTTAAGACACATTTCTTAAAGCATGAGTTATATTGTACTGCTCAAATTGTGTCCTGAGAATAAATGTGTGAGAACACAAGAGAACAAACTAAAAAAGAAGAACAAAAGTTAAATAACTTATTAGACAGATGTAAAAAAAACAATAACAATTTGGCAAAATGAGCTGCAGAAATACCATCAACAGTTTTATAATTTCTTAAAAAAAAAAAAATTATAGAGTGTATACTGTATTTACAAAAAATACATACATATTTTGGTACTTGTGGGTTATCTGCCGCTACTTTTATTGTTTTTTTTCAAACTCTCTAAATAGGCACTTTTGTTAGGGTTAGGGTTGGGATTGGAAAATTAAATTAAAAACAGATAACCCACAAGTACCCTTTTCTTCATATTGCAGCATTTCACTATCTCTTTTTGCACATGTTACCACTTGTGTGCATGTTTTAACATTCAAGGCCTTGGTCTCAGCCTTGGCACCCTGAACACAACAGGTGCTCATTGAATATCTAGTGATGAGACATCCGCTGTCTCCAGTGTTGGCTGGGGGGACGGCCTCCCCAACAGTGATCACACTGTTCCCTTTCATAGCCCACACCGCCTGCTCTGCTTTCTATGTAGCTCTGCAGGAAACTGCTGGATACACTGAAGAACTGCTCAGTGCACTGCATTGTTGCAGACACTGCTGTTAAGACCAGATCAGATTATTGTATTGTCAGTGGGGGAAGTGCTCCTCCCATGTAGAGACAAAGAAAGAGTCTTGCAAAACTCCTGTTTTGGCTCCTTCAAAATGTGGAGGGTTACTAGAAGGCAGTTGGAAAAGCATAGTCTTCTCCGAATGTAAAACCATGATTCAACATGTAAAGCCTCTAAAACTGTTGAAATGTGTCAATTATTAGCCTAATATAAATTCAAAACACATTATTATTTAGTCACTGATGGTGAAGATGCTATATATAGTCATCAAAACAAGAAGGAGGCATGATGGCTTGTTTAAAAACAATTCTTATGCCAGACATTTAAGAGTGGGATAACAGATTGTCTCTTTCATTTTTTTCAGAAATGTATCCAATATCAGGAAATGCAGACAGCGTTAAACTTCTTCCAACTTGGACGGTGGAAGCAACAAGCAGGAAATGTTGGCAGCCTTACTTAGTCTTGGGTCTCTTTCTGTTGCTGCTTGAAGCGTCCACAGGCTGGAGGAAAAAAAGACACATTTGTTAAGACTAATCAACAAACCACATTTGGAACTACTGAAAATTAAAAGTGATATTTTTTTGTAGAAATCATGATTTATCCAAACATATCAAAGGTCACACTAAGTCACACTACCTTGAAAGAGAACTACAGTTGCATCATGTCAAAACGTAAAGAAAAAAATCTCTCAAATATGGGGCTGCACATTTTAAGATAATGTAGAAACATGTTGGTGCCACATGGTGGACTATTATGCTCAATTTTAGGTTCATAGTTGTAATTACTGCCTCTACCGTGACATGTTTCCATGCTTTAATGTAAACCAGAGCCCAGTCTGCTCTGATTGGTTAGTTAACCATTTAGAGATTTCCTGCCTCTTATATATCATGTACGATGTGTTGGAGCACTAGCCAATAGAAGCGCCAGTGTGGAATTAAACAAATGTGTGGATGGAGGTGTTTCAGGCTGTGTGGGAGAGAAACTCCCTCAGGAGGGAACACAGGGATTTTAGCCTTTGCAGACCATTTACATGCACTAAAACCTATATAACACACTACAGGAGAGGGAAACCCCCAAAAGCAGAATTGGGCCACAGTAATTCAATTTATCTTAATCGATGTACTGCAATGAATCAAGTTCTGAATCAATTCATTAAAACAATTTAAAAAATCTCTACTTTTTCTCACCTGCACCCTCTTTCTGGTAACTCTAAAGAAGTCCGCAATGTGAGTCTGCTTGTTTTTTCCCTCTGCCTTCTCTTTTTCCCTCTCCTCCCGCTTACTTTCCCGTGTCTGACGGAACTTCTCCATGCGATGACGGATTTTCTCCTCCCTGAAACACATACAAACGTATGCAGTCATAACTGTCTTTGAAAGAGACAGAAAAGCGTGTAAAAATAAGTATACGTACTTAAAGTATTTGACGTGGCAGAGAAGTCTAACCAACGCTTCTTCATCTGGCTCAGTCCAGGTGAGTTCAGGAGCTACTGAGTGTGGTGCATCCAGGAATATCTTCCGAGCTTCTTTGTACTCCCAGAAATGTGGCACAGGATGGGTCTGAAAGAAGATGTCGCATCAGATCTTACACTTTGTTGTAAAGCTACGTACAGAAGGATAATATGACCACTGGTTGTCCAGCTGTTACCTTTCTGTTGACGTGCAAAACCACGTTCTCAATAGTACGGTGCTTCTGGATCAGAGACAGCGCTCTCGTAGGACCCAAACCGGCTATCTTGTCACAGTAGTCACAGCCCAACAGAATACACAGATCGACAAACTGTTGGAGGAAAAAGATGCTAAATTATAAAGGTTTGAGGCATTGTTTGTAGTATTTCCGTGAAGTTGTATTGACACTTTTAATGTTCTGTACTTTGATTATGTCTTTAATGTTCTCACCTCCTCGTGGGTGATTTTGAGTTTCTCTAACAGCTTGGGTAACGAATATTCAATGACGTCACTGTGAAGAAAAGGAAGAAGAAGAGTATATCTCCCCATCAAAAACTGATATTGATTTTTTTTGTTAGATCTTTTGTAAGTTGGCTGAACACATTTTTATATTGCCCCTGTCTAGTCATTCCTGTCTGTTTTCTACAAACTGGGGGCGTGCCTCAAGCACCCCCACTTTAAATCATCCAAAAAACCTTTAAGCCAGGGTACAACCAAAAAAGGCTGTGACGGGATCATTTCTGACAATCGGGTTCAGAATGCATCAGTATCATCACATATGAGCAACTAAAAAACACTTTATGACTAAAGTTCAAATGAATCCAATGCTGTTCTCTAAAGCAGTGGTTCTCAACTGGTCAGGCCTCGGGACCCACTTTTTACTTGGTCAATACATCGCGACCCAACATTTTGAAGCACTCAAATCTATTCAACAAAAAAACATGCTGTAATATATACGCTTTTCAGCATACAATATTAATACAAGTGAAGTACAGTGCATATATCCCTTATATCCCTTCACAGAACTAAAGTATGCTTTTAAAAAAGGTTTAATGAGATGATGGAATCAAAGCTGAACTATATAAAAAGGCACACATGCTGAAAACCCAACCCCAGCAGGGGGGTCTGGGGGGATTCTCCCCCAGGAGATTTTTATAAATACTAACAAACTATGCATTCTGGTACACTCTTGAGAAGAAAATAAATAAATCTATTACTACCCGACATATTAATAATATTTTATGCCATTGTTTGTTTTTCACTTTGTTCTGACATCTTGCTGCGAGAAGAGTAAAGAGGAGATAGTCTGTGTGACTTACTTTAAATTGTGGGTAAGGGTAGATAGCTCCCATTGTTCTATGACCCGTCAATCATCAAGCCGGGGGTCATATTTCATTATGTGTTCATATTTATCTGAAGTTTTACCCATGGATGTATAAAGAAGAGTTCTCCCGCAAAGTTATTCTCCGTGGGGACTTCCGGCAAAAATCTTGATTCTGATTGGCCAGAAGACTCGAAAAAACTTCAACAAAGATATTTTATCGAGAAGATGATCACTACGTGACAGAAGTTTTCAAAACTGTTTATGGTCTCCGGTACTTCCAGTCCAACGCCGACTGCATGCACAGCGTTAGAAAATCGGGCCTTCAAAATAAAAGTTTGACCTTTTCCCAAAAATAATAATTCCAATTTCTTCACTCACACATCCGCGACCCACTCGAAACAGGTCAGCGACCCACTTTTGGGTCGCGACCCACTAGTTGAGAACCACTGCTCTAAAGTTTCAGAAGAGTACTAAAATGCAATAGCCTCAGAAAACTTTAAAGGAATAGCGTAATTTTACTGAAAATACATCCAAGCATACAAACCATGTAAGGAAGATCGATTTAACAACGTAAAACTCAAGGGAAAAAAAATAGGGAAAACATGACCATCATAAATGTAAATAAAACAAACAAAAATGGTAAAGCTTAAGAAATGCCATTCAAATCAATCACAAAACACACAAATTGCTCAGTTCTTACCTGTCCTTCTTGGCGTTGAACTGTCGAATGAGAATATTGGCTCCAAACGGCAGAGTGTCCATGTCCTCTGATGCCACGGCATCCACAGTCCCATCCCTCACCAGCTTGGCACACAGCGCCTCAGCATCTCCTGGAGCCTGCAGCACCAGACAGGGAGATACAAAACAATTAAAAACATGTACTGAGGAAAGCCAGGGAAGAGACACATGGGAAATGAAGGAATACATTGAGCTTTGACCTGGATGACAGGAACACCCAGAAGCTTCAGCAGCTGGAGACAGTCTCTGGTCTGAGGTGAGGCTACATCACAGAAAAGTCAAGGTTCACTTTAAAATAATCAACATTAAAATGATATTTTTCAGTTATAGTTCTACAGAACATAATGTCTTCTACAATAAGTCTGAAACCACCGTAACTTAATATTTTCTTTAAAATCTGTGTTACGGTTTTCTAAAACTAGTTGCACAGAAGTTCACTATTAAAGGGCCCTATTCTGCTCATTTTCAGGTAGCCAATAGAAGTGAGAGCGTGATGAAGGGACATCACTATGTCGCAGAATTAAACAAAGGAGTCCAATGAAGTTGTTTCAGGCAGATGTGTGGAAGAGAACTTTGGGATTTGAGTCTTTGCAGATCATTTACATGCACAAAAACCTAAACAACACACTACAGGAAAGGGAAATCCCCCAAAAACATAAAAGGGTCTTTCTTTTAAGTGGTTGACCAATCACAGAGCTAGCCAGCTAACCAACTACAGCACAGGCAGTATGAGAAAAATAAGGAGCTTTTTGAGCATTAAAGCATGGAGACATGTCACAGTAGAGACACTACATATAAATATGAACCGAAAAAAAAGCATAATAGGGCCCCTTTAAAAATGATGCTTAAGGTGTTTGTGCCACTGGCCCCTGTGCATGTGGTCATCACTCTGTGCAGATGTACCTGTGCCTGTTCGGTTGGGTGACTTCCAACCAGCAGCTTCAGCGCGCTTCTCAAGCTGCAGGAAAAACCGGACTTTAGATTAGCGTGACTGGGACTCATCTGTATCATACTTCAGGTGTTAGCTGGTCCATTGAATTCACTTTCACTTCATTGTTATGGATATGTTTAGTATAGGTGTCACTTACAACAGCGGTCTTCTCCCTGGGAGGCTTTCCATCAAACACAAAGACTGGCTTTATGTCATGCTCCAGGAAGGTGAGCGTGCGGAAGAAGAGACCAGTCAGGGGGCTACACACAGGAAATAAATAACATCTCACATGAATACAATGGCCAAAGAATATAAAAAGATGTTGTTTGGAGACGCCTTGATTAGACTTTATGGATGCAGTTTGTGGTGGACTTGTGTTGGATCCCTTTGTTTTATATATGTTGTATGTATGTATATATGTTGTTCTCATCTGCAAATGAGATGAAGATATTAAAAACTACCACAAAGTGCAGCCCTAAAAAGTACAAATGAAGTCAACTAATACCATAAATGCATTATTTTTATATATTTTAAGCAAAGTAAAGGTTTTTATTCTGAACTGTCCTGGATTAGGTGTTGATATGTTTCGGGACAATGGATGAACTGAGATGGAAGTAGGAAATAATTTATATAATATGCAGGTCACAGAAAGGACAAGTCATGTATACATGAGAAAACAATACTGCTTCTTCACGTCAACTCACCTCAGTGAAGGCGTCGCTGCACGGAACTGGTTCATAACAATGGAGGTATCCAGTGCGATTACTTTTCCTGTGGGGATTAACACAGCAGCAGCATCATCAGCACATTATAATATAACCTCCATGTAGTCAGTTTGTCTTTCATTACATTTTCCAAATGTGTTGTTTCTTTGCAACACATTTAGTTCACTGTATTTCAGAGGAAAGTATTCATATTTATTCACGTACTTCATTTACATGGCAGCAGTTTATAATAATCAGTGCAAATTAATGCAACTGTAAGTATTCAGAAGATCGTAAAGGAGTATTTTAAGACTGTCGTATTTGAAAATTAAATTGAATATGTTATCTAAGGTATTATAAGCTAAATGTACTTACAAATAAAAGTACTCTGTATGCAGTATGCCTATTTCACAGTATTGTTTTTACATTATAATATCATTCTGTTTTTATCCCTAATAAATACATACAAGGCATTTTGTAGTTTGTCAATAAAAAGTCAATTTTAGATACTTATAATGCCGAGTTATTTATGTGTTTTTAAATGTAAAAAGTATGATTTTTGACTACGAAATATAGAAAGTAGAAGGATAAAAGAGGAATATTTGGAAATACTCAACTAAAGTACCTCAAAATAGTACTTTAGCACAGTACTTTTGTAAATACTGTTGATAACATGATAAATCAGTGAAGTAACGTTAGTGTTACTTCTAAACAGGTTTACAGGCAGTGATGTAAAGTAACTAAATACATTTACTGAAGTACGGTACTTAAGCACAATTTAAATACATTTAGTTACTTCACAGATTTGGATGAATAATGTGAAATCTAATCAAGTGTTGAATCAGACTTTAGTTCCACCTGGAGTAAATTCGCATTCTGATGATGCGAATACTTTTGTACTTTTACTTGAGTTAACATTTTTATTGCAGGACTTTTACTTGTAAGTAGCAGAGTATTCCTACACTCGAGTACTTCTACTTTTACTCAAGTATAAGATCTGTTTACTTCTCCCACCTCTGTTTACAGGAGTATTTATAGTAGTCAACACATTGAGCTAAGCTAACTAGCATTCAGGTGGCGATATGCTAACTTGAGCTTTTTAGCCATTGTCCCTTGCTAGGACACACATCACCAACACAAGTACATTATAACGATAGATGATGCGGTATATTACCCGTGTAGTCACTGATATCCTTATGAGAAATAGCACCAGGAGCATCCTGACGGATCAGATCTGCCAATTTGGTGATGCCCATTGTCACACAGCAGCACCACTGCCTAGTCTGCCTTTATGGATTAGGAATACTTCCGGTAGAAGAGGAAAAACACTTGTTCAATTATGATTGGATCCAAATTAATTGGCGTTTGTTTGGGATCTTTGGCAGATCAAGTGGACTTTAGATTAACCGAAACTACAACAATGTCCGGTTAAATGCCCTGAACATCTCCCTGCTGTTGCACCCAGCAGAGCAGCAGGGGGCAGCATTGCTCAAGCAGAAACTGGAAAAAATTTACATCCATCATTTATTACAGAAAAAATATTAACAGACAATGAATGTATTCATATATTACAAAGAAAGTTAAATATTTAAGTTAAACTCCAGCTTTAGGTAGTATGTTTAACAAAAAAAGTTGGTTACAGCAACATTTTTGGATGTGATAAATTACGGTATACATTGCCATCTATTTCATGATCGTACACATAGTAGCTCTAATATTGATTTCACACCATATAATGAATAAAACCACAGTCCATGCTTTTAGTCTCTTATGTAACTTAGGTAAATCACAAGTGGTCAAATTCTTTAAAAAAAATAACTACAAAAACTTTGAAAAAGTAGATATCGCAGGGAGAAACATCACTGCACAGATGAGCCTTAGTACTCCACCCTAAGTATTTGTGTTGACATGTTAGCTACATCATCCAAAGTAAAAGAAACAAATTGAGGAGAAAGTACAACATTGACATCAATAGGCTGTACATGAATGTTTTGTGTGTGGAGTTCAGGACATCCAGGGTAAATGTTATGGCATCTCTAGATTTAGACATCTGAATTTGACACTTTTATTATGGTAGTTTTTTTCCTTTTTTCAAACAGACAGGATGGGTCAGGTCTGAGGTTCCCAAAACATTTGTGGCAGAAGTAAATCCTTGTGTTCCCCTCTTATAATTCTTCTCCTGAAGTGAAACATTGCGTATGAGCTCACAGCCTCAGTGTAACATCCTTTACAGAGAATCTATCAAGCTTAAATGTGCAATCAGCAGTACTTGCACTAAATAATCATGAAGTGAGGGAGGCTAAGCAAAGCTTGTTGAGAAATATACCAGGCATTCCTTGTTTTGATCCATTTATTATATATATTACCGGTACCACATTTAGTTTTCCCTACGGATAAGTGTATGGCTGTACCAAATTATTATTATTCAAAGCTTTTATTGATGTTGTCAAATAAAGCTTCAAAGTATGTCGTTGTATTTTTTGACAGTATCAGCACCAACATGTTTTCAACAATCATTCGATATCAAAATAATTTAGCAATATTTTTCAGATTTGTAATTATATTTGTATGACAGGAACCTGTGTTGTATGTAGGTTCAGCTTTTTACATCGAAGCAGTTGCTAACCTTTTGCAAACATCCAGCTGTAGTGTCAACGTGCCATGTCTAGCAAGAGTGAAATCCATACATGGATATTTGAAGATATTCACATTTATTTTCAGTTTTACCTCTAGTTCTAATGGTATTGTACCCCATTAGAACTACTTTGTAACCAGATGTCAAGGTGTGAATTCTTGATTTGAATACTTTTTGTTAATGTTTTACTGCCTCAAGCTGCATTCAAATGATACGGGCAGTTGGGCGCAGAGGAAAACAGTCAGTTGTGTTTCCTTACCTCCTCTGCTAGATTGTGGCGCTACACACAGCCCTCACCTGATTGGGTGTGCAACAAATGGTCAGCGGTAACTAGGTCAAATTTGAAATTATTTTTGAAATTTGAGCACAGTGCATTTCAAGTGGTACACGATGCCGAGCGTAGCTCTGCCGCCTAGTCGGGCAGCACTGCTCCCTCCATAGAAACACAACGGATACGCCAGCATACAGCTGTTTTACTATCATGTGAACACAGCTTAAGATCATATCTTGACAGCGCTAGGCTTTACATTCCGAAGTGAAATCCCAAAATAGAACTTGCGAGGTTTAGAAAGAGTACTGTATGGTGGAGGACATTTGCTAATGTTTTTATAGTTTCCTGTGGTTGACTGTAATTTAAGTAAAGACTAGTAGTGTATTTCAATGGTTGCACCTTTAACAAGGAATTGCTTTGGCTTCCAGTGTTCTGGGAGACTCGGTCTGGTCCAAACCTCAGCGCCGGAGCCAGATCCAGGTGTTGATGAGCCAGAAGGTCACCGTAGCAGAGTACAGGATCACCTCTCGCTTGGAGCGCTCTTTGTTTTCCTCCTCCAGCAGCTGCAGGCGGCGGTTCAACTTCACAATCTGAATAATGACCACAAAAACATTTCCTTATCTACTTTAAAAAAAAGGGTCGAATGTGACAAAGTACATCCAAAGGATTACCACTATTTGGTTTCCAAGTGAAGTATTAAGTATGCAAGATGATGTCAAAGGACCTTATTTAAAAATCGACACAGACACAAGGAACATTTTGATATTTGTGTGATCATGTGTTAGAAAATTACAACATATCAAACAAACTTACATTAAACCCCAAAACGTCATCAGGTGAACACTAATATAACATGTCAAGTCATTTCTTACTGGCCCCATGATGTAATGACTGCTTGTATCTGTAATGTATTTCTGATGTTTGTGTACATCTAGTATATAACAAAGCCAGTTGTATCTCCTCTGATATGTCACATCTAAACTTGCTGTGTCAGCATGCCTTTGTAACAATTCAGTTGTAGATAGTAAAGCTAAAAATAGGAGAGAATACTTGCAACAAGCAGAATATGCACACCTGAGCAGATGAGGAGCACATTAATCACTTATCAGCGACAGATGAAGCCATTTGGGCGTGTGAGAGGTATTACCTGCCGTCGCAGTGACGAGGCGTCCATTAGGCCAGACTCCTCAGGGTTTATATCCAGAGCCAGCTCTAGGTGGGACCTGTGAGTACATATCCACAGATTTAAGCATACAGCATTTTTTCTACAATACAGTCATTCATTTGACTTTCCTCTTGTTCATTTGAATATGTATTCTATTTTCTTATAACTGCAACATACTTGCACCATTATGCAATATTCAATGTTATTTTCTTTTATGTTTAAGTATATTCTGTTTTGCAGTGTTGGAGGAGCTACACTGTTGATATGACAAATAAAGCCTTTGAATCCTTTGAAGATCAAAATATCTCAATTTAGAATAATGCCAACAATGACATACTTCAAATGAGTGCAACTCAGCGGCTTTCTGCATAGCTACAGAAACAGTCCAACACACATTTATCCAACCATATAATGTTGTTGGACAATAGCGTTAAAAACCTGAACAAACATCATGACAGCACAAGTTCACTGTGTATGGCTTTATTATAATGTACAATTCATTAAGATGTTCCTGCCCTGTTTGGCTGCCTTGCTTCAGAGACTCCTATACTCCGTACCTTTGTCCTGAATTACAGCTCCACCTGGGAAGCTTCCTAAAGGTAACAAGGCTGTGGCAGGAGCAGCTCTGTAATCAATCAGTCCGAGTATACTCAATGAATTATAAATACAGATATAATGCTATTTGATATATGATTGATTTGAACCTTCTGATTTCATATTTAAATAATAACAGACTCAAAGCCGACCAGCTCACACCTGCACACTCAAAGCCTTTCCAGTAGTGATCCGTCTGCCAGGGTTGTTTAACACCAAGCCCTTAATAAGAGCCAACACGCAAACCCCAACTAGCAAAAATATGCAATGATAACAAAGCACTAACTTTCTGAATTCTAATAGCAGAATAGTCACAATTTTACTGTTTCTGTTTTTATGTAAAGCGTCTTTGAGCATTAGGAAAAGCGCTATAACAATCCAATGTGTTATTATGTATAATTATTATTATAATTGTGACGACTCGCTTGCTGTTTGTCATGAGCATAACGTTTCCTATTTTCAGGAATTGTCTTAGAAATCCACCACCGGGACCAGCTGTTTGTCCTGAGAAACTGATCCCAGTGCTTTCTAAGAATGACAGGGACAGAGGAAGACAGATGACCTGCGGGGGGTGTCGTCCAGCACCTCGATGACCTGCTGGTACGCCCGGCGTGTCGTCGACTGGATATAATACATGAAGCCGGCAGCTGTAAACAGGTTGATGTGCGCATCCTCAGGGGAACAGAGGGGGGGACACAACCGGACTGGGGGGGCAGAAGGGGAAGGGGTTACACTGGCGGAGAGGTAAGTGGAGAGAAACGGTAAAGAGATAAGATGTTTTTATAAAGCAGATATGTGAAATGAGCATAACATATAATACGTTTATTTAAAACATACACATTAATATAACAAGCATTTCAGATGTGGGCTTACCTTACATCACCTCTGACGCTCTGACAGCTGTGGCGGCCATGTATGTTCTCACTCGCACTGCGCTCCCTCCGAGACCGAGAGTGAAAGTGAGCCTACAAAGTATGCACAGATTGGACATGTTGTAAGGCTCAAATGAAACGTTAAAGTAGGCCTCCAGAAACATTTTGCATGTAGCGAGTATTTAGCAAATACTTTCCTATGATTATTAGAAGGGCTTCACAATTAATTAAAATTGTATCGAAATCGCAATATGGACAAATGCAATATTAAAATTGAAGAAAGCGCAATATTTGTTAAAGACTAAATATGTTCTGTGAGCCCTCAGCTATCAAACTCCTCTGCTGTGGAACCGGGTTCCAGTTTAACACTATCTTTAAGAACTCATATCCCAAAGATGCTAACTAAGCAGCATCCAGGTTATCATTCCCAGAGTTTCTTTTTCTTTTTTTTCTTGTCTTCAACCTGGCTCATTGCAAGTATTAAAGGATACGTCTGGATCATGAGTCATCATGAGGTTTTTGTCATTTGGATTATCAATGTGTTTTGTTCAAATCTATGCACAAGACACCGATTGCACGTGTGTCTGTCCTAGGAGAGGTATCCCTCCTCTGTTACTCCCTGAGGTTTTTATCATTTTTCACATCAATTGTGGGGTTTCTTTGGCCCTGGAACAGCTTGGAGGGGAGTTTCAAGTCAATTCAATCAATTGTACTGAAAAATACAAAGGATGAAAACGTACCACCTGGCTGGGATTGCTATGAGAAGCGGCAGTTTGTTCCGTTTCCATAGAGTCCAGTGGCTGCTCTGCAAGAGTGAGGACACGTGGGGGGGCCTTCATGTTCAGGAGGTCCATGGGAGGGATCGATTGGATCAGATCCAAGTCTCGAGGACGAGAAAAGTTAGAGTCGCCATCATCACCTGTGGAGAACAGGGACAGTTAAATAAAAAGGGTCGGGTTAGGCCGGTTAGATAAGTCAAATGCAAACAGTGTGTCGACTTTCAGCTCTCCATGCTGAGTTGTGTGTGTCTTGTCCTCACCTGCTACGATGATCCTCTCCGGCACCTGCATCATGGTTGTGTGAATGGGCAGGGGCTGCTGAAATTGTAGGGACTCTGAAGGGTTCCCCGAAGCCACCTTGATGGTATCAGGTATTCGCATCCTCTGGCTGATGCCCTCTGTGTACTCCAACTGATAATGGATGCGGCTCATCTCTGCCACCTCTGCAGAGAGGGTGGTGTATGGCCCACTCATCTGGCCTGTAAACACATTCAATTAATAGATATGGAAAAACGTTTAAAATAATCAACAGAAAAAGTAAGAAGTTAGACTGTAAACATTTAAATGCCTGTCGTGTCATCTTGAGTTTGTGTTGAGTACAGAGCAGTATCATTATACCTGATTACAATAACACATAACGTTACTTCAGTACATGCTTACAGGTTGCTTGTCTAATAGTACTGCCCAAAATATACTGTAGCCCGGGCATGTCCCATGAGGAACCACATATAAACCCAACCACATGATGGAAGGTAGGGGGTGTATAAGCTTAAACTAATAAATAATACATTTCACGTTGTGTTACAGGAGATTACATAACGTTGACATGAGGTATAGCTGTTGTTGTCACATGGCCTCAATGTCATTGAATTAAAATCCTCACCTGACGCCATGTCTAGCATGTAGCTAATATGTAGCTAATGTCACTAGTATGTTTAGCCTTAGCTAATGTTGCCTTTACCATAACACGTTAGCTAAGGCTAAGGGCTTGACTGCCCTCTGTAGCAGAGATACTAATGCTCTATCAGCTTTATAATTTAGGACTACTTACCGTTATGGTTTTAGCACCAGGTGTTAAAATGTCATGTGTGAAATTGCTGTTCTTACTGCAAAATGAACAGCATTAACCGGAATGGACGACAAGTGAAACCGAGGTACACACCGCTTCAAACTAGCGTGTGCTTGTGTACATCCGCCAGCGATATCCTCCGTGTCCGCGGGGGCGGAGCGTATGAGCTCAATCAGTCAGTCAAACCGACCCGCGTCAGTCGGGGGCACCCGGATCAGAAAACGAGCGCACACAATTATCACACACAAATGAGTTAGTTCAAATAAAATGTTTATTTAACTGTCAGACCTAGGTCATACACAATAACGAAATATTATTTACGTATTTATAACAATAATACACTAGCATTGTACCAGAATAACAACAATTCCTTACTTGCAGAGAGAACCCATAATTTCCTCATTGTTTACTGACATTTCATAACAACGAACTATAATAAAGAATGATGTGAAAATTATAATTTTTTCAGAAAATCTGTTGATGGATTGCATTTCATTATGATGTCACGATGATGAAGCCGGCCAAAAGATATAATGAAAACAACCTAATATGTAACATAAGCATATGGCCTAGGCCTACCCCAACCCTTTGACTGGTAATCATTGAATGGAGTTAATAGGTCACTCCTTCAGAGTTCAAAAAATGAACATGCACATGGTACACTGTAAAAGAATGCTAGTAACTGGGCTAGTCCAAATGCTTTCAATACAAATATTCACACATACAACACGTTTCAAGTGCATCATTCATGCTAGTATGAAGCTAATGTGTATGGGCCCCATTGATTTTATTAAACAAGAATGTATTCTGATATATTCATCAAGTATAAGCACAGTATTGACAGCACCTAAAAGGGCCTTCAAACTAGACTTTGACACATGTATGGCACATGACACTATGCAGCTGAAATGTAGTCACACGTGAATATGTATCAGTGATAGAAGTATCATAAATGACTAAAACCACAATTGTGTTACAAGTGAAATTCCTGCATTAGTATAATAGTGTATTAGTATAATGAAGAAAATATTTAAATGTAAGCACCTTAAATTAACATTAAATAATTATGTATACAGTCACATGTACTGTAAGGATACATGTATTGTTGTTATCAGGCTAACCCTATTCTATATTCCATTATATTTTTATATTATACTTTTGGGTTGTTTACATTATTGCACAGCAATACAATGTTCCTCATTTAATACTCATTAAATGTTGTTTAAAAAATATATATATTCATCTGAAAATTAACTACTAACTAAATTCATCAAACTAATGTTGTGTAGTAAAAAATAACAGTATTCCCATCTGTAGAGAGTAGCATAACATGTAGATAGGCTATTTTAAAAAGTACACTTACCTAAACATTTGACTTAATTCAGTAGATTTACTTAAAGTATTTGGTATATTTTAATCATGAATGTCTGCGACAGCATCTAAATGTAAGTGTTTTCTTCAGTTATTTTGGATGGACAGTTTAGAAATACACCTCCCACAATTCCACCTTCTTGGATCCCACTGCGCATGCGTCCTCCGGCTGGGCCATTATTTTGTCCTCCTCAAGCTTCAAATGAACAACAGGCTAAGCGTTCCTTGAAATGAATTAAATATTTATAGACGCAGGGAGCATTTCATCTTCTTGTTCGTCACAAATGGAGTCTCTCGGTTAACAGCTTGTTGTCTCGCCGGGCCACTCAGTCCTCCGTTGGACTCGGAGGCCGAAAACAGAGCGAGGAGTGACAGCCCCGTTAAAGCCAGCAGACTGGGTGTTTATCTAGTTGGCTAGCCACCTAGCTAGCTTCCTAGACAGCTAAGAGGGGAGGAAACACCCGAAAGGACCATTCGGTAACCTCGGAAAGACAGAGCTGTGGCTGTCCCGGTCCCGTCCAACCGGCAGAGAGGATGGCACACCTTCGAGACATGCAGAACCAGGTACAAAAATCCTCTTTTAACCGACTGTCACCTCCCTTTAAGGTCCAAGACAAGTCGAACCCCCATGACTGTCAGGCTCTCCATTAATAGGTGGGGAGGGGGTCTAAGCTATCAATGCAAGTGACAAAAACCTAGCATATACACACACTTATGTACTCATTTATTTCGGCAGCATCAGGTGAAACAATGTCATTAGACCTTATAACAGTATACAGTAAAGTTTGAAATGTCTCCATTGTTTTAGTCTTGCCATTATCACATACTGCAGACATTACAATATTTTTGAAAGGAATTGACTTCATTAAGGGCCTCCTCTCCTACTCTGTTAAATGATAACTAATTTCTGTTATGCAAAGAGAAAACCACTGAACCTATAAGTTGGGTGTCACTTGAATGACATATTGGCACAAAGTTCGATCTACAGTCCAGTTATTATACAGGCAGTGACTGAAGAGATGGGTTCATGGACACAGATAAGAATCAGATCAAGTTTTTATATTACAGCAGTGAATTAGATCATTTTTATGTAGGCTAACAGATGTCATGTAGGGCTGGGTCGATACGTGGAGAATATGTATTATTACGTTATTGCAACAATATCTTTGGGTTGACCATTTGGGATTCAAAAAACATTTATACAATGACATTTTCAACAAAAAATCAATAGTAATGTGTATATGATAACAACAAATTGGTAAAGGCAAATAATAAAACAACTAAAACAGTCTGTTCAGTTCAGAAAATTACATAACTTCAGCATTTTAATCCACACAACACTTATGCCATATTAAAAGGGCCCTATTATGCTCATTCTGAGGTTCATATGTATATGTTGTGCCTCTAGTCTACTGTAACTACTACTTTAATGTTCAAAAAGTGCTTTATTTGTGTCATACTTGTGACTGGTCAACCTCTTAGAGACCTCCCGCCCCTTAGCCTATCAAGTACAATGTGTTGGAGCGCTAGCCAATAGAAGCACCATATTGTTACATAGTGATGTCACCATGTACAGAAGAAAACAAAGTATACCAAAGAAGGTGTTTCAGGCAGGGGGGGAGTGTGTGGGAGAGGAACACATGGATTGTAACCTTTGCAGAACACTTACATGCACACAAACCTATAGAACAGACGTCAGGAAAGGGAAAACCCTGAAGAAATAGGGCCTCTAAAAACCTTTAGTTAGCAATTAAGGGATGGGCAAGAACTTTGATCGTCTGATAAAATGCCAATAAAACAACAATAAACCAAACCCTCTGAAAGAAAGAAAGAATAACTACACAACTATGCAATAATAAGTCATACCAACCTTTCCACCATGGTATATGTGGAGAACTTGTGGAAAACACCAAAGATTTAGGAATGAGTTAGATGAGAAGATTGATGCTGCAGCGGGGTTAGCTCATCATATAGCTCATCATATAGTCTCGATACCCTAACTAATATTATAATACATTAAAACAGACTTTTAGTCTTTGCAGACCATGCACGGAAACTTCTATAACACACTACAGGAAAGGGATATCCACAAAAAGCACAATAGGGCCCTTCTAAGAAGTGATGTAGTTTCATATCAAGATATCAATATATTGCCCTGCCCTACTGTCACTTTGAAATGATCCTTCTATAAAAGGACATTCATATAAAACAAGTCATATGCTTTTGCGCTAGAGACACACACAAATAAGCCCCTACAGTCACCATGACAAACACTTCATAATAATTCAATGCTTTCTGTCACTGGGTCAGAACACCCGGTTGGACCCCGAGGAGTACTTCACCAAGCAGGAGCGGATCGGGAAGGGGTCCTTCGGGGAGGTCTACAAAGGCATCAACAACCGCACAAAGGAGGTGGTGGCCATTAAAATTATCGATCTGGAGGAGGCGGAGGACGAGATCGAAGACATTCAACAGGAGATCACGGTGCTGAGCCAGTGCGATAGTCCATTCGTTACCAAGTATTATGGATCATACCTGAAGGTGAGACACAAGTTAAAAAGTGATACAGATTATTTGCAGACATCAACATGTCAGGGCAAATCGTTCACATTTTTTAAAACTTTTTATTTATTTGTACTTTCAACATTTTTTTTTTTACATACAATATAAATAAAACAAAACAAAGTGTGTTGTATGCTTTCTACGGAAGAGGATTTGGGCCACATGTGATTTTTTTTTTTAGATCTTACAAAATAATTTCTGTCTGTTAAATCCGAATTCTGAGGAAAAAGTCACAATAAGAAATGTATTTAAAAAATAAATTACATTTGGCTCTTGTTCTCTTCCGTAGTATTTCATCTGAATGCAGTTTTGAAAATAAATCATAATAATCTTGGACGTCTTTAATCTAATATTGTTCCTGTCAGGGGACCAAGCTGTGGATTATCATGGAGTATTTAGGTGGAGGATCTGCTCTGGATCTGGTAAGAAGACTTATATATTTAAATCGCTTTTATAAAAAGTTTTTATTTACATGAGGAAACCTTGAGCAGTTCTTGGTTCTTTCTTTCACTTCCACCTTTTTAAAATATATATATATTTGTTTGTTCTTCTCTAGCTGCGTCCAGGACCTCTTGAAGAGACGTACATTGCTACTATACTGAGAGAGATCCTGAAGGGGCTGGAGTATCTGCACTCAGAAAGGAAGATCCACAGAGATATCAAAGGTAATAAGCACTCTCTATCACTAAGCATCTTATACATATGAATTCATATCATTCTACAGTGTTTTCCTGCTACAAAGCCAGATATCTTCTCATCATTCAGAGTAGGGATATTTTGATATACCAGCATAGACAATAACAGTGATTACTTCAACATTTGATATTGATAACATACTTATAAAACAGATAATACATTGTAAATAATCCAGCGCCTCTTAAATCACCAATCAAATATGTTTCCGTACAGTTATGGTAAGAGATTATCTCTCCACCTCCCTATTACAGTAGTTGCCTAATGGATTTGTTGCTCAACAGAAAAAATAAGCTGATTTCAGCCTCTCAAATAAGGACGTTTTCCTGTTCATAACATTAAATTGACTATCTTTGGGTTTTGGACAGACAATACAAGACATTTAAAGATGTCAACAGAGTGATGTTCAGAGCTCATTTGCATCAGTATTCTGTATTAACTTGAAATGCTTTGATGTCAAAGCTACCGGCGAACAACATGTGTCCAGTCTGAAGCAGATGCTGGACACA